CTTTCCTCAGCCTCCTGAGTAGCTGGGACTACAAGCGCCCGCCACAACACCCGGCTATTTTTTTGTTGTTGTTGCAATTTGGCCGGGGGCGGATTTGAACTCACCACCCTCGGTTTATGGGGCCGGCACCCTACTCACTGAGCCACAGGCGCCACCCTGTCATTGTTGTTTTGGGTAGCCCTGGCAGGGTTTGAACCCGCCAGCCTTGGTGTATGTGGCCAGCACCCTACCCACTGAGCTACGGGCGCCGTCCAACACTGGCCTTCTTTACAGAAAGAGCAGAGATCAGGAGGCTCTTCCCTGAGCCCACTCTCACTGGCATCCACCCCCTCCCTTCCCTCTACCAGCTACATTGGCATTCATCCACATGAGAACCCTTCTGGCCAAAACATGCTAGAACAAATGAGTCTAAGACAAGTCCTGTGGGCTCAGCGCCTACGGCTCAAGTGGCTAAGGTGCCAGCCACATACACCTAGGTGGCGGGTTCAAATCCAGCTCGGGCCGCCAAATAACAATGCAACCAAAAAATAGCCAGGCGTTGTGGCGGGCGCCTGTGGTCCCAGCTACTCGGGAGGCGGAGGCAGGAGACTCGCTTGAGCCCAGGAGTTGGAGGTTGCTGTGAGCTGTGATGCCACTATACTCTACTTGGGACAGCTTGAGGCTCTGTCTACAAAAAAAAAAACAAAAACAAGCCCTGTGGTGGGGGAGCTTGGTGGGACCGGGGTTGGGCACTGGTTCATTCATCAGTTCACAGAAGACTCCTTACGTCCACTCCTCTGTCCACCCATCTACATGCAACCATCTTTACTTCTACACAGCATATAACCATTTCTTTGTTCACCGTCTACAGCCACTCTTTTGTCCATCTCTCCCTCTATTCACATCTAGTCTTCTGTCCGTCTCGCTAGGGTGACCAATTTCCTAGTTTGCCTCAGAATGTCTCAATGTTAGCGCTGAAATTCCACATCCTGGGAAACCCCTCAAGATACAGGGGACATCAGGACAGTTAGTTGATTCCCCCACCTCCCTTGCATCCTGAAGTCCAACCACTGGTCCGCAGCCAAAGAGTGGCGTTTTGCACCCCGGTATCTGACCTGACTATGCTAACCAAGGGAGGACAAAGCCCCGCCCCTCCTTAGGCACGCCCCATCACCGCCCCTTCCGGAAGCCGCCGCAGCGAATCCAGGCACCCTAGCAACAGTGCCTTTCAGGCAGTCCAGTCCGTGTTCGCAGCTCTTAGTGAGAGCCAATAGGGAGGCGGGCCGGGAGCGAGGTGCAGGGGGCGGGGTTCGGCCTGGCCACCGCCATTTTGGTGGGAGAGAAACAATAGGACGGAAGCGCTGCTTGACCGGGCTGAGGCAGCAGGTAAACGCCCGCTTTGCTGGGCCTGTGACCCCGCTGCCCCATGAGCTTTCGGAGAGGCATTTAACGGGCTGTTAGGGGGCAGAATCTCTGGTTATTGGGATGTCTTGGATTATTAGGGAAGAGGGTCTCTCGCGATTCTTGTTGGGGAGGTCTTCTCGGGTCTTTTCGGAGCTAGAGTTCCCTCGCTCTTTTGGGAGGAGCATTCTTTCTTCAGATAGATGGGGAGAGAGAATCTTCCCGGTTCTTGGAGGGGGTCTTCGGACTTTATGAGCAGCAGGATCTTTCCCAGTGGTTCAGCAGGTCTCCCTGAGCCTTTGTAGGGACAAGATCTCACCTGTCTTTGAGGGATTTCCCCAGTCATTGGCGGCCACGACCTCCCAGGTTACAGAGGATGGTCTACTTGGATCTTTGGGGGGAGGGCTCAGCCCAGCGCCTCAGGTACTGTTACCTGGGCCCCGCATTTGTGCAGCCATTTTGAGTGTTGAATGCCCGTTGGGCCTGTGAGCCGGTGTATCTGCATACCTAATCTTATTGCAAAAACGCCTTTTTAAAATGGAATCAGATGGCCTACTCTTTATAGTGGTATTTCAACTCTTTATATTTGATTACATTCTGCTTTTGTCTTTTGGATCCTCATGGCTTGTTTCATTTTAGGATTGTATTCCCGTTTCACATTAAGAAAGGTGCACTAACAGAAAAATGAAAGTAAAATGTAGTGAACACTTGAATCTGGTGCTGTTAAATGTCCGGTGAAGCAATTTGAAACTAAACATTTCAGTAGCAAAATGTACATAGAACAAAATAAAGTCATCTTGAATAGTCTTAAGAAAAAGTATTAAGGATGGCGCCTGTGGCTCAAGGAGTAGGGCGCCAGCCCCATAAACCAGGGGTGGCAGGTTCAAGCCCGGTCCTGGCCGAAAAACTGCAAAGAAAAAGAAGCCAAGAAAAAGTATTAAAACTTTTGAAAAGTGGTAACAAAAATGTCTAGCCAGGCGGTGTGGCAGGCGCCTGTAATGCCAGGTACCTGGGAGGCTGAGGCAAGAGAATCGCTTGAGTCCAGGACTTTGAGGTTGCTGTTAGCTGTGAGCCTTGACACTCTACTGAGGACCATCTGTCTCAAAAAAAAAAAAAAAATGTTGCAGAACACCAGTTTTATAATTTTTAAAAAATAAAGGACCATGATTACAGTGATTTTGTTGAATACTAGTATTTACAATGTTTGCTGCATTTGCATTTTAGCCAGGTAACATTTTAAGTGAACTAAGATGCTTATTTTGGGAGGTGGTTGGTGTGGGATTTGTATAATTGCATCCTGTAACTTGGTGTTAAATATTTAAAGAAAAGTCTCAGTGTGGTGGTGTTTTAACTTTAGTGGTTATCAGAATTAGAAATGGCAAAATGAATATTTTATCATATTTGACATAATAGGCCAGTTGTTCATCTAGTAATTTTTTATTTGGAGAAAAAGTCAGTTGAACTGTTAACTGTCATTCCAGTAGGTTTATGGGCTTTGTAACTTTAGAATTTATAGGTATCTTTGGAAATCAAATAGATGAGAACTAGGACTAGAGTTCTAATATAGTTGTAGAAGTCAGTTTAACAGATGTTATGGGCTTCTTTTGTGCTTTGAAGTTTCATAGGTGACATACGAGTACACTGTATACCGGTCTTGTATCTGAGTAGTGGACTGTGCCAGGAAAGAGAAACCACCAATTGAAGAACTTAGCCAGTCTATCTTGGAAGAGGTTTGCCAGAGCCTTCTATAAGCTCCTGAGATGTCACTGGTATCTAGGCAACAGGGATGAGCCTTAGCCTTCCTGAGGCCAGCTTGCTGAGGTGAAAATTTTCCATTGTTTGGCTCATAAACAAGATGGGTTGGGGAAGATTTTTCCCCAAGATATTTTACCCAATCATACTGAGTACATTTTTGTTCACTAGAAAATAAACAAATGGGGCGGCGCCTGTGGTTCAGTGAGTAGGGCACCAGCCCCATATGTGGAGGGTGGTGGGTTCAAACCCGGTCCCCACCGAACTGCAACCAAAAAATAGCCGGGCATTGTGGTGGGCGCCTGTAGTCCCAGCTACTTGGGAGGCTGAGGTGAGAGAATCGCTTAAGCCCAGGAGTTGGAGGTTGTTGTGAGCTGTGTGATGCCACAGCACTCTACTGAGGGCAACAAAGTGAGATTCTGTCTCTAAAAAGAAAATAAACAGATGATTATTCTCATGTGATTACATTTTTAAATTATGTTTTTGTTTTTTAAATAAATTACATTTTTAGGCTGGGTGGAGTGGCTTACATCTGTAATCCCAGCACTCTGAGAGGCCGAGGCAGGTGGATTAATTGAGCTCAGGAGTTCAAGACTACCCTGAGCAAGAACATAACCCCATCTTTACTGAAGAAAGAAAAATAGCCAGGCTTTGTGGTGGGTGCCTGTAGTCCCAGCTACTTCGGAGGCTGAGGCAAGAGGATCGCTTGAGTCCAAGAGATTGAGGTTGCTGTGGCACTCAACCAGGGCGACCGAGTAAGACTCTGTCTCAAAAATAAATAAAATGAGGCCTGGTGTGGTGGCTCACGCTTGTAATCCTAGCACTTGGCAGGCTGAGATGGGGGTATTTGCCTGAGCTCACAGGTTCTAGCCCAGCCTGAGCCAGAGTGAGACCTCACGTCTAAAAATAGCTGGACGTGTGATAGGCACCTGTAGTCCCAGCTACTCGGGAGGCTGAGACAAGAGATCGCTTGAGCCCAAGAGTTTGAGGTTGCTGTGAGCTATGACACCATGGCACTCTACCGAGGGGACTTTGTCTCAAAAAAAAATTTTTTTTAATCAAATGAATAAATAATTAAATATACATGATTAATATATAGCTGTTTGCTTACTGTGTAATAAAAGTAATAGGTAGTAGTATTTTGCCGTATATTTTTCCCTCAAGATAGAATTTAGAGTCCACATCAGAGTTTGAAGGAACAGTTTGTCAAGATGATGCATAGTTGACTTGGATCTGTCACCAATCACTAGATTTAGCAGTTACCAACTCTTGGCCTGTTTTGTTTCTTCTGCACTCTACCTACCTTCTCTGTGGCCTCCCTAAGAATGAAAGAGAGAGAAAAAAGTAAATTTAATGGGGGTGGCGCGTGTGGCTCAAAGGAGTAGGGTGCTCGCACCATATACTGGAGGTGGCAGGTTCAAACCCAGCCCTGGCCAAAAACTGCAAAAAAATAAATAAATAAATAAAATTTAAAGGAAGCATATCTAAGAAATGTTATTTTATCCATAAATATTTCAGTGTATAAGAGATGAGTATCTGGCTGCATCTAGAATACCTTTTTTTTTTTTTAGACAGTCTCACTATATTGCCCTCAAACTCTTGGGCTTAAGCAATTCTCTTACCTCAACCTCCCAAGTAGCTGGGATTACGGGCGCCTGCCACAACAGCCAGCTACTTTTGTTGTTTTTGTCATTGTTGTTGAGTAGGGCTGGGTTTGAATCCACCAGCCCCTGTGCATGTGGCCCATGCCCTAACCACTGAGCTATGGGCACCAAGCCTAGAATACTATTATTCTGCCTAAAAAACATGATCATTCCTTAAAAAAATTTTTCAGGGCAGTGGGTAGGGTGCCAGCCCCATATACCGAGGGTGGCGGGTTCAAACCCAGTCCTGGCCGAACTGCAACCAAAAAATAGCCGGGCTTTGTGGCAGGCGCCAGTAGTCCCAGTTACTTGAGAGGCCGAGGCAAGAGAATCGCCTAAGCCCAGGAGTTGGAGGTTGCTGTGAGCTGTGTGACGCCACAGCACTCTACCGAGGGCGATAAAGTCAGACTCTGTCTCCAAATTGGCTAGGTACCTGTAGCGTAGTGGTTATAGGGCCAGCCACATATGCCGAGGCTTACAGGTTCAAAACCGGCCCAGGCCAGCTAAACAACAATGACAACTGCAGCAAAAAAGTAGCTGGGCATTGTGGCGGCCTATACTCCCAGCTACTTGGGAGGCTGAGGCAAGAGAATTGCTTAAGCCCAAGAGTTGGAGGTTGCTGTGAGCTGTGATGCCATAGCATTCTACCGAAGGTGACATAAATGAGACTCTGTTTCAAAAAAAAATTTTTTTTAATTATATCATTTTGAAATGGTCCTAATTGTCTCATTATTAGTTGTTCTTTTTTTTTTTTTTGAGACAGTCTCATTATGTTGCCCTTAGTAGAGTACTATAGCGTCAGGGCTCACAGCAACCTCATAAACTCTTGGGCTTAAGCGATTCTTTTGCCTCAGCCTCCAGAATAGCTGGGACTACAGGCACCCACCACAGCACCCGGCAATTTTTTTTATTGTGGTTGTTGTTGTTTAGCAGCCTTGGGCTGGGCTCAAACACAACAGCCTGCGTGAGCTATGGGTGCTGAGCCACATTCAGGTGCTAAGTCATATTACTTTTTAACAGTTGTTTTGTTCAAGTCAAGATCCAAATAAGATCTACATGTTGAATTTGATAGGAATGGCTCTTTTGTCTCTTAAATTCGTGGGTGCTCCCCCTATTTTTCTTGTAATTTATCTGTTAAACAACTTATGTTTGTCTTGTAGTTTGCCATAGTCTTGCTTTTGCCATTAGTTGCTTGTGCCTCAGACCTTTTGGCTGTTTCCTTAGATTTTATGCATTTTACCATATTTGGAATTAATTCTACTCCAACTTGCCTACTTGCATCTTTGCCATTCCCATAGCTACTACATTTAGAGCAGCAGTTCTTAACCTGTGGGTCATGACTTCTTTAGGTCTCGCCTAAAACCATCACATACACCCCGTACAAATACAGATGTATGAAAGTAATTTTATGGTTGGGGGTCACCACAACATGAGGAACTATATATTAAAGGGTCATGGCATTAGGAAGGTTGAGAACCACTGATTTAGAGGCATTTGATAGAGCGCATCATTCTCACCTCTCAGTGATAGGTATGTGACACTGGAAACCTTACCACAGTTTGTGATTTCTGCAGTGTGACCCTTTTACTT